CCTGCTGATTCTCTGTATGCCCATGCTATTAATGAGTCTCTCTTCCAGTACTCCGCCTTTTCCTCCTCCTCTTCATGCCTTGAGTTTATCATTGACAGTGGCGCGACACACACTGTTCTGCGCGATGCAGGCACACTGGTGCCCCTCCCCACTCCCTCCACCATCCACGGAGCTGACTCCAGCTTCACCATCACTAGTCAACACACCTCCACCCTCCCCTGTCCCATCTTTCCCTCAGGTACAGTCACAGGTCTATACATCCCCTCCCTACGTAACAATCTGGTAGCACTATGTGACCTCACCAGGTTCAATGTCACCGCCCTCTTCCCCGGTCATGCACTATACTGCGACCTCTTTCACAACACCACTGGTCGTTTCATCTGCCGCATTCCCCTCTGCCCTCGCACAAACCTGTACACGTACCGCACCCCTCGCACCTCCATTCATCACCTCATCGCCCCCACCTCACCCCTTCCCCTCCCCCCACCTCCTCCCCCCCTTCCCATCCCCTCCCCTATCCCTTCCCCCATCCCCTCCCCCATCTCCTCCCCCCCCCTCCCCTCCCCTCCTCCTCCTCCCCCCCCCCTCCCCCCCCTCCCCCACCTCCTCCTGTCACTGTCGTGACCTCACCCATCCTGCAGTTCTCCTTCACCATAGGTTGGGTCATCCCAACTTTGCCACCCTCCGTCAAACTGTCTCCACCCAACTCCTCGACGGCCTCCCCCTCACCCTTCCCCCCATCACCCTCCCCTCCCTGCTCGGTATGCATTGAAAGCAAACTGAAACAGGCCCCCCACAAGAGTCATCCCTCCTTCTCCCCCCAGCCTCTTGATCTCGTCCACATGGACCTCTGGGGCCCCAACCCTTCCCCCACCAGGCAAGGTCATAAATACCTGCTCATCCTGGTGGATGACCACAGCCGCTACTCCTCCGTCTCCCTCCTTCGCACAAAGGCGGCAGCTCCGGCTGCTATTATTGCCTGGGCTGAACAGGCACGCACCCATTTCAAACGCCCTGTCTCCCGCTTCCACTCTGATGGCGGTGGTGAGTTCCTTAACAACATGCTCTCTTCCTACTGCACCACTCGTGGCATCATCCACACCTACACCCTACCTCATTCCCCTCAGCAGAATGGCGTGGCGGAGAGTAGGGTCCGTGAGGTCACCAAAACTGCTCGGTGCCTCATGGTCCATGCCTCCTGCCCGCCCTCTCTCTGGGGCTATGCCATCCTCCACGCTGCCATCCTCACTAACTTGTACCCTCATCCCTCCCGGCCCACCACCACTCCCACCGCACTCTGGACATCCAAAAAGCCCGACATCACCCCCCTGCGCGTGTGGGGTTCCATGGCGTATGTCCTCATACACCCTGTCGACCGCTCACGCAAAGCTGGAAAGCTAGCCTCCCGCACTCTCCCGTGAATTTTCCTTGGTCACAACACCTCCTCCCCGGACTATCTCTTCCTCCATCCCCCCTCAGGTCGCCTCATTCGTAGTCGGGATGTGGAATTCGATGAAGCCCACCCGTACTACACCTCCCCCAAAGCCCCTAACCCCCTCCCTCTAACCACCCGTCCCTTCCTCTGGACTGACACCATTCCCCCCCCACCCCCTCTCCCCTCCCCTTCCCTTCTCCCCCCCCCCACCATTATCCCCCCTGCACCCCCACCCCCTCCCCCCTCTCCCCCCGCCTCGTCAGGAGACATCCTTGACCCCGTCCACCCTCCCTCCCCACCCGCTGCCCCTCCCCCTCCCTCCCCACCCGCTGCCCCTCCCCCTCCCTCCCCACCCGCTGCCCCTCCCCCCCCTCCTTCCCCTCCATCCCTCCATGCAGAACATCCCCCGCCTCCCCCCTCCCCACGCCCTCCCCCACTCACTCCACCTCCGTCCTCACGGCCCCTACTTCCCACTCCCCCTCTCATACTCCGCCACTACCCTCACACCCGCTCCACGGTCCCCATTCTTGGTACCCCCAGGTCCACCCCCCCCTCCCTCCAGTCTCTCACATCCATCCTCCTTCTCCGCCACCATAGCACCTCCCCTCCCCCCCGCACCAGCACCTCAGGTTCTCTCAGCAGTCGCGCCCCCGTCTCCCTGCCCCTCACGGCAACTCAGCGAAGCCGAGCTGCAATGCAGCTGTCTCCCCGCCCCGACCCTCAGCGCAGCAGAGCACCAGTGCAGCTGTGTCCCCGCATCAGCCCGACCCACCAGCGCAGCTGTCTTGCAACTTCACCGCCTTCTCTTCCTCCTCCTCTCACTCCGGACCTCACTGAGGACTCTCATGATGAGCTAATGTTCCTCCACCTCCTCTCACCCACCGTCGCCCCCGTTGTCCGCACAATGGCTGGCACCACTGTTCTTCTCTTCTCCACCACCCCCACCATCTACGAACCCACCACCTATGAGCAAGCACTTGCCTGCCTTGATGCACCTCTTTGGATCGAGGCCATGGTCAAGGAGAGCAACGCCTTCATCAGCAACCGCTCGTTTATCGACGTCCCTCGTCCCTCAAAGCACAACGTGGTCCAAGGCAGGTGGCTTTTTCGAGTCAAACTACTCCCTGGCGACGCTCCGGTGTACAAGGCTCGATATGTGGCAAAAGGCTTCACACAGACCTATGGCTCAGACTTCTTCGAGACCTACTCACCCACCGCCACTCCACCGGTCATTCGCGTGTTTTTGGACTTTGTTGGCAGACGTGGGATGCTTCTTCACTCCATGGACGTCACCACCGCCTTTCTGCAAGGCGACCTTCATGAGCTCATTTTCCTGGAACGTCCCAAAGGCTTCCACGCTCCTCACGACCCTACGCCCTGTCTACGGGCTCAAACAAGCACCTCGGGAATGGCACGCCAAACTCTCCTCCACCCTTCGCGCACTTGGCTTTCGCCCCTCCCGTGCCGCCTCCTGCCTCTTCCTGCGCCTCACCCCATCACCCTTCTTCATCCTCGTCTACGTCGACGACATGCTGCTGGCCGCTGACACAGCTGCTGACCTCCAGGAGGTCAAGGATGAGCTGCAGAAACGCCTTGCCTGCAAAGACCTAGGGTAGGTTCGCAACTACCTCGGCATGGAGATCACTCGCGACCTCACTGCCAAGACCATCACCCTCTCTCAGTCTTTTTACATCGAGAAGATTCTTGAGAGATTTGGCATGACAACCTGCAAACCCATCCCCACACCACTTGCATTCGGGCATCAGCTCGCCCCTCCCACCACTCCCGTCACCTCCCCTCATCCCTACGCAGAACTTGTTGGGGCCCTGATGTACGCCATGGTCTGTACTCGTCCCGACCTTGCATACCCAGTCAGTGTTCTGGCGCAGTTCGTTGGCACCGGCAGGCATGGTGAAGAGCATTGGAAGGCGGCCATGCGTGTTCTTCGCTACCTTCAAGGCACGAAGGACCATGTCCTCACTCTGGGTGGTGTGAACCCGCCCATTCTTCAAGGCTTCAGCGACTCATCTTGGGCCGACGCACAGCCCGACCGTCGCAACTCTCAGGGATATGGCTTCACACTTGGGGGCGGCCTCATCAGTTGGCGCTCCACCCGCTCCTCCTCCATTGCCCTCTCATCCTGCGAAGCCGAATTGTACGCGGTCACGATGGCGGCTCAAGAAGCACGTTGGCTCAGCTATCTGCTCACCGACCTTGGCTCTCCACAGCCCCGCCCCACCCTGTGGTGTGACAACGACAGTACCATCCACCTCACCAAGGAAGCAGTTTTTCATGGTCGCTCTAAATACATCGAGCTTCGCTACTACTTTGTTCGCGACCTTGTCCAAGATGGTCACCTCACCGTTCGCAAAATCGCCTCCTCCGACAACCTCGCCGATCTCTTCACCAAGGCTCTCCACCGCTCCGACCACTCTGCGCTTCTGCGTCTCCAGGGACTTGCTCCCCGCGGTGGCTGACTCAGGGGTTGTTACTCTCTCTCTTCCCGAGCTTATGGATTTCTGTAGGTTAAGGGGTTGTGTCAGATTGCCATCCTCATTGTAACCTACATCAATCCTATAAGCTTAGGCTAGAGATAGCACCCAAACTTAGTTTGGGTGTAGAACTAGGGCTAACCCTAGTTGGGGGTTGGAACTCCAACCTTGGCCCCAAGGTTGGGTTGGGAATTATTGGTCCCCCCAATAATGTTGAACCACTTGGTCAACATCATTGGTCCCCCCAATAATCCCTCAACCCAACTTATTGGTGGGGGCCAATAATGTTGGCTTGGTTCCAACCAAAACCCCCCCCCCTAGCACTACTATGTATACCTCCATCTCTCCTAATCAATTCAATGGTTCTTCTTCTCATTTTCTCACAGCTAGGTGACTTTTGAGTCGACTCAAAAGTCGCTTGAGGGGGGGTGGAGGTCACCCTGCTAGGTGACTTTTGAGTCGACTCAAAAGTCGCTTGAGGGGGGGTGGAGGTCACCCTGCTAGGTGACTTTTGAGTCGACTCAAAAGTCGCTTGAGGGGGGGTGGAGGTCACCCTGCTAGGTGACTTTTGAGTCGACTCAAAAGTCGCTTGAGGGGGGGTGGAGGTCACCCTGCTAGGTGACTTTTGAGTCGACTCAAAAGTCGCTTGAGGGGGGGTGGAGGTCACCCTGCTAGGTGACTTTTGAGTCGACTCAAAAGTCGCTTGAGGGGGGGTGGAGGTCACCCTGCTAGGCACTCACCCACGCAACGCACCCATTCAGACACCCACCGCTCGTAGCACACAATAGCCAATTGCAGGTCGCCGCAGTTCTTGTATATGATGACGCCCATGTTGCACTTCGCCCGCCCCTGGTACCCACAAACACAGCCACCCACCACCCAGCCAACCGGAAACACAGACTCTCACCGCTCGTAGCAAGCAATAGCTGAATGCAAATCGCCGCAGTTCTTGTATATGATGACGCCCATGTTGCAATGCGCCTCCGCATACAGCGGCCTGAGCGGCATGAGCACCACCGCGCACAAACCCATCCAACCAAGGCAAACAAACACCCAGCCACTTATCCACCCACCGCTCATAGCACGCAATAGCCGAATGCAAATCCCCGCAGTTCTTGTAAATGACGCCCATGTTGCAATGCGCCTCCGCATAGAGCGGCCTGAGCGCCACTGCCTTATCATAGAACTGGAGAGCCGCCTCGTACTGCCCCATCTCCGAATACACCACCCCTAGGTTGTAGTACGCCGGCTGGGGGTGGGGAGGGCGAAACGATAGGGGGGGTGGGGCAGGCGTGGGGACAAGGCATGAGGAGCAGGGCTGGGGGGTGGGGCCTGAGCGCCACTGCCTTGTCGTAGAACTGAAGGGCCGCCTCGTACTGCTTCATCTCTGAATACACCACCCCTAGGTTGTAGTACGCCGGCTGGGGAGAGGGGAGAGGGGGGGAGAGGTTGGGGGAAAGGGGTTGGGGAACAGGGGTGGGGGAAGGGGGCACGCCTCTGTTTGGCATAGAGCGGCCTGAGCGCCACTGCCTTGTCATAGAACTGGAGAGCCGCCTCGTACTGCCCCATCTCCGAATACACCACCCCTAGGTTGTAGTACGCCGGCTGGGGACAGAGATGTGGGACGGATATTGGGCACGGGTGGGAAAAAGAGCATTCATAGTTCATCCAATCCTCGCCTCGGCTGCCCCATCTCCAAATGCACCACTCCCAGATTGTAGTATGCGGGCTGAATGGCGTGGGGGGAGGGGAAGGGGAAGGGAGGGCACGGCAGGGCTGGGTACAGGTGGCAGGAGCAGCAGAGTCACATCGCTGCCTCGTGCTGCCCCATCTCGAAATACACACACCATGCCCCAGGTTGTGGTATGCAGGCTGGATTGGGGAACGGGGGGTAAGAAGGGGACACCAGTGGGGGGTTGGAAGGAAGGATCCGAGGAGGGGTGGGGGGCAGGAGTGGCAAGCAAGGGTGTGGGGGACTCAGGAGTCAGCACTACACTGCTCCTGAGTGTGTGTCAGCTCAGCACATCCATTCCTTGACTTGACTCACACTGCCCCATTTCCCGAAAACGCCACCCCCAGATCAATCGTATCGTACTACCACCTCATACCACCACGTATCACCGAATTGAACCGCATCTCACCATGTATCTCTCTCTGGTCAGAAGCAATAACCTCATAGACCTTGGCTATCCCCTCCTGCACGGAACCCCCCAGCTTGAGGCACTGATTAAAGAACCTCACCGCATGCCACCCTATACCACCACATACAACCGTAAACCACAGAACGCCACCGCACTAAACCGCGTCTCACCGCGTATCTCTGGTCAGCAGCAATGGCCTCATAGTACTTGGCTGTGCCCTCCTGCACAGAAGCCCCCAGCTTGAGGCGCTCATACGAATGCCCCACTGCATACCACCCCATACCACTGCATACTGCCAGAAACCACCGCACGCCACCGCACTGCACCACATCTCACCGCGTATCTCTGGTCGGCAGCAATGGCCTCGTAGTATTTGGCTATGCCCTCCTGCACGGACCCCCACAGCTTGAGGCGCGTGCCCAGGTCTGTGAGCACCACCACTAGCTACCACCGTTTCTCACCGTTTACCATCGCACTGAACCACATCTCACCGCATATCTTTGGTCGGCAGCAATAGCCTCATAGTACTTGGCTATGCCCTCCTGCACCGACCCCCCCAGCTTGAGGCGCGTGCCCAGGTCTGTGAGCACAACCGCCAGCTGCTCTTGCGCCTCCTTGCACGCTGGGTCTGCCTCTAGGGCCTTCCTGTACGCCTGGGGGAAAGGATGGGGCAGTGGTGTATGAGCGTCAAAATCACCCCCAGCCAGCTTGAGGAGCGTGCCCAGGTCTGTGAGCACCACTGCCAGCTGCTCCTGCGCCTCCTTGCACGCTGGATCGGCTTCCAGAGCTTTCCTGTACGCCTGGGGGGGGGGGGAGGGGGGGGGGAGTGGGGGAGCGGGAGGGGGGGCAAGGGGGGAACAGGGGAGAATGTGAGCCGTTGGTTAAAGCAGGAACACTGGGGTGGGAGCGTCAAAAGCAGCAGGCGCCCTTGCAGCTTGAGGCGCGTGCCCAGGTCTGTGAGCACCACGGTCAGCTGCTCCTGTGCCTCCTTGCACGCCGGATCCGCCTCTAACGCCTTCCTGTACGCCTGGGGGGGGAAAGACGAGGGGGAATGGGAAGGGACGGGGGGAATGGGAGGGAAGAGGACTCAGTGCGTGCCCAGGTCTGTGAGCACCACTGCCAGCTGCTCCTGCGCCTCCTTGCACGCTGGATCCGCTTCCAGAGCTTTCCTGTACGCCAGGGGGAGAGGACGGGGCGGGACAGAGGGGATGTGGGAAAGGGGTAGTGGGGTATCGTGTCAGCAGCAGCAGGCGCCCTTGCATTGCAGCTTGAGGCGCGTGCTCCCCCCCAGGTCTGTGAGCACAACTGCCTTTTGAGTCGACTCACAAGTCAACCCACTCCTCTCCCCTTCCTTTCTCTCCCCACGACTTTTTCCTCCCCTCTCCCCTCCCCTCCTCTCCTCTCCACCCTCAACTTCCTCCTCACCCACTCAACTCAATCGTCTCTCCATTCTCCTCCCCACCCCCCCATTCACCTCGACCATCCCTCTCCTTCCTCCCGCTCCCCCCACTTACCTCGATCACCCACCCACCTCCTCTCCCATCACCTCTCCCCCCTCCTCTTTCCCCTCCTCCCCCTCCCCCCACGCATCTCTATCACCTCTCACAAGTGCCCCTCCCCATCCCCTCACTCACCTCAACCACCACCTCAGCTCCTCTTCCCCCACCTCTCCCCCCTCCTCTTTCCCCTCCTCCCCCTCCGTCGTCCCACGCACCTCTATCGCCTCTAACAAGTGTCCCTCCTCCCCCTCCCCCCACGCACCTCTTTTCCCTCTAACAAGTGCCCCTCCTCCCCGCATGCACCTCTGCCCCCTATAACAAGTGCCCCCCCTCCCCGCACGCACCTCTTTTCCCTCTAACAAGTGCCCCTCCTCCCCCTCCCCCCACGCACCTCGATCGCCTCTAGCAAGTGCCCCTCCTCTTTGTACAGCACTCCGCACTGCGTCAGCGCTACAGCATGTGTCGGATTCAGCTGTAACGCGGACACGTACGCCTCAAACGCCGCGCTAAGCTTCCCCTGCGCCTGCAAGCACTGCCCCTTCCCCACTAGCGCCTCCGCCGTCGCTGCGGCCGCGGCCCCGCCCGCCCCTCCCCCTCCCGCCCCTCCTCCCCCTTCCCCCGCGCCCGCGCCCCCGCCTATCGTCCCTGCGCCGCTACCCGTTCCATTCCCCCTCGTCATAGTCACAGCTGCGCCTAATCTCTCCGCTATAATCGCCTCGTATATCGCGAGCGCTTCGTTAACTTTCCCCCGAGACCTCAGCATAGCCGCATACCCTAGCGGATCCTTGACGGCACTAAGCCGTCCCGCCGCCGCGGCTGCGGCTGCGGCGGCGGCGGCGGCGGAAGCGGCGGTGGCGGGACCGGGTATGGCCGCAGAAGGGATTAAACCGCCCGCGCCGTTACCGGCGGAGGCGGAAACGGCCCCTGCGACGGGGAGCGACGCGGAAACTGGTTGCGGGTATGTCGCGGCTGCAGCGGCGGCGGCGGCAGCGGCTGCGGCGGCGGCGGCGGCGGCAGCAGGGTCGAAGTGAGACGAGACGAAACCGTTGCTCGGGAAACCGGGGTGCGTGGGCATGACAGGGGCTTGCATAGGAATTAAAGCCTGTCCAGATGCGGTTGATGCGCTAGAGCCTCCTAACGACGCAACTAGAGGGTTACCTAACGCGCTATGATTCAACCCTTGCGCACCGCCACTGATGTGGAGGTTGCTTATTTGATGATGGGCACCGGGGGGGAGAAACGGAATCAGCGCCGCGGAGTTACCAGCGTAAGGGGACGGGAACGGCAAGTGACCGTGCGATAGGGAGATGGACGGCTGGGATGCGCCGACTGGCGAGATTCCGGGAATACCGATTGACTTCAACGAAGCGAGCAGGTGATTGTGCTGCACGGACGCCGCAGCAGGTGATAAAAGCGCGGGGTGATTATGAAGAGAACCAGCTGAAGGGAGCAACATCCATCCCCCAGCCGCCGCCGCCGCCGCAGCGGCAGCAGCCGCAGCAGCAGCCGCCGCAGCCGCTGCTTGGCTCCCGTCGTGCTGCTCCAGAGCGGCTGATTCCGCGCCAAAGCCGCCGCTTCCTACGCCGGGAATCGCGGCGCGAACCGTGGCACCTCCAGACGAAGCAGCTGCACCGCAGCCGCCGTCGCCGCCAACGTGCGGATCAGCAAGCGGCAAGCCCGGACTCATGATCCGGGAAACACGGCGACGCCAGCTTGACTGTCAGATAGGCCGACAACTATTTCGGTTTCGCATGGCTAGAACGAAGAATTAGCTCCTGGGAGCAACGAAATGCGGTTCTCGAGGTGAGTAACTGCTTCGCGAAGCAACGCGCGCTATACGGACTAAGCTGGCGTTAAGGGTCTGCTCTGCGCACACACTCTAGAATGAACCCTAGATTCCAATGGGAAGGAGTGTGATGAGCGGACGGTGTCTCCGTTGTTCACCCATTAACGGAGAACGATTCAGGCTGCGCGCTTAACTAAGAGCCAGTAGCTGATGTCCGAAAAAAGTTCAACGGCTAAGCTGCCGGACGAAACTATTCTGAGAGGACAAATTCGCCTGGGAATCCCGAGGGCCTGATCACTAAGAACTAACGAGACAGTTCCGATTGGGATCGCAACTATCGTGATAAGACACAACGGGGACGGCTCGAATACGGCAAGTTACTAATTCGAAGCGGCAAGCGGAGAAGCTAAGCTCCAGTGGAGGAGTCAGGTGTTTCGTGATGTGCAGGAAAAACGGCAAAAGCAGACAGACGCAGGGACCGCGTAGGGAGGATGCTGAAGCTGGCAAGGAGGCAAGCAAGTGGTACAGGGGACAGACGGGGAAGGGCGGGGAGGTGGTGGTGGTGGGGGAGGAGGAGGAGATCCCGAGGGTGTTGTTGAGCGACAACTAAGAGCACGCGCGAAAGAAGTTGGCGAAAGTAGGACGTTGTGGATTGAATTCTTCGTTCAGTTGCGATTTGTGTCATCAGGTTACAAATTGTTTCAGTGGTCGCGATACAACTGTTGCGGGGGGTTCAGGTTGATCGGGGCTGAAATGGACGGTAGTGATTGCCCGTCCAGCCCGAAAGACGACAACATGCGGGTCTGTTTTTCCCGTCTAGGAAGTTTGTGGAACAATTAGGGACGCAAGGCATGGAGGATCTGGTGAGTTCCGAAGCGGAGATCGAACGGCTACAATGCTCCACATGAAATTCCATTGAGCCGTTGTGGTGTGGAGGTGAGGTACTCCCAAACCTTGGAAAACCAAGAGTTATGCGGGCAGATTCTAGGTTTGAAAGTCCTGCAAACCAGTTCCCTCCACACAAAGAAGCCATGCGTCCAGGATAGACGACTCGTCAGTTTGTTTGCGATTTGTGACTGGCTGCAAATTCTTCACTGCAAACCAGTGCATGACCCCCAAGTCTAGAATTTCGATACCGAGGAATTCGTTGAGCCACGTGTGACCAAACACATCCACTCCTTGAACCATGTCTGACAGTTAGATAACCCTGAAACTCTCATTTGTGTGAAGTACACCGCTATGGCATCCAATGAAAACATTCTGGTTGAGAACTCAATAAGCTGAAAAGAAGATCCACACCATGGAAATCCGTGATAAATTGGACATTCAACACCAACAAAGTTTTCACCGCATACCAGAGAAAGAGCCATGCACTTGGTTGAACCTTCAACATCACTCAACTAAGTCTACACTGTGGACAAGAGGAGGAAGAGCTGCACATAAGGTTTGGTGCACTGCGACAGAGGAGAAATGGCTTGCACCGCAATTGAGATGGGCTAGACTGCGGGCCAGAGGAGGAAGAGCCCCACATCATGGCTTGGAACTCGCGCACTCAGCTCCCCTGAGATGACCGAGTCCATGGTTGCCTTCTGCAGTGTGGGAGAGTGGAAGATGCAGCATGGGATGGAGACAAATAGTGACACAGGGTGTGCGTGCGTGTGCTTGGGTGGGTGTGTTGTGTGTTGGGGACGGGTGTGTGTGAACGTGCATGTGTGTTGTGTGTGAGTGTGAGTGTGTGTGTGTGTGTGTGTGTGTGTGTGTGTGTGTGCATAGGTGTGTGCATAGGTGTGCACATGTGTGCACATGTGTGCATGTGTGCATGAACATGTGTGCATGTGTGCATGAACATGTGTGCACGTGTGCACGTGTGCATGTGTGCATGAACATGTGTGCATGTGCGCATGTGTGCATGAACATGTGTGCATGTGTGCATGAACATGTGTGCGTGCACATGCAAGTGCCTACCCTCCCACAAACAGACAGAGTGTGCTTACCTTTCAAAATTCTCGTGCATACATCCGCTCCACTGGGTTTTTGAGTCGACCGACAACCAGACCTTTTATCAAGTCACATACATTCCACAAGTTTCATGCATACATCCGCTGCCCCCGATTTTCAAATCAACCAAAAAGCACAGCTTTTACGGGGTCCAGTAGTTGCAGAGATTTCCTGTACACATGTGCTGCACTGGATACCTGAGATGATGGAACAAGTATAACCTTTTACCTAGTCACGTACCTTCCATAGATCTCGTGCATGCATGGGCTGCACCGGATTCAGCCCCATGGCTTTCCAACGGGCAGTGATCTTCAAGCTGATTGGACTGCGATTCACCAGCGCTACCACTTGCCGACCCTCCGACAGAGGCCCGGACCAAACCTGCAGGTTCCAAGACCAGAGCAGGCCGCATGGGGGAAGGGCACAGAAGAGAGCCATGATGCAATGAGTGGCCAAAACGGCTGCCATTTGTTATCGAGGAGCTTCACAAAGGAGCACACCTGATGGTCCCAGATCCGATGGCTCATCTGAGCCTACTCACTTGCTCCAAGCAAGAATCTACCTTCGCGACTGGAAGCAAGAAATGTTTATGTGATCTGTAGTTCAATTTAATTTGACTTGACTTGATCAGATGTGATATTTCTTTATTCGATTCGCTCACCTCCATCAGCGCATCTTCTGAGACTTGCACCTTCCTCGCCTGAACGCCCAGTGGGTCTGCACCAATTAGAGCATGACACGTGAGAGCAAGTACAGAAGTTGGTGAAACACCGTCGCTGGGCACGCATACCATCAGCAGGCAACACAAAAGTTGCATGTATTGACTTACGTATTAGCATGAACAAGCAACAGCAAGAGAACATACCCTGGTTCAGAGTGATGACTTAATCGTTTCAAGGTCACTTTCGAGTCGAGCCAGAAATAACAACAGCAAGAGAACGTACCCTGGTTGAGAGCGATGATTTCCTCGTTGCCCAGAATGGCCAACGTCCTATTTGATACGACCGAGAGATCGCAGCCAATCAGGAGTGGCGCCTGGTGGAAGGATGTGAAGGGAAGGAGAAGTGCTTCGTTAATTTCTGGGAAAACACTTGAGATAAGAATTTCAGGTAGTAAAGCCAAGTTAAATTCCTGGAATTATTACTGAAAGAGACGACTTGGTTGGGGCTTATTCCTGGACTTATTATTCTGCTTTTGAAATAGAAATGGTTCAGAGCCGTTGTAAGGTCTGGGTAGAAAACAATTTTCAAACTAGATGATCTGCACATATCAGCTGTCGGAACTAGCGACCTGAAAAGAAAGAAGCTCACATGCCAGCCCTTGATGACTGTTGGGTCAATGGAACCAATGGATACTCGTATGGGAGGTGACTGTTGAGTTGAGTCAACTCTAGGATGACTGGTGAGTTGATTATCAATGTATGTATGTTTATGGATGGATGTGTGCATACATGCATGCATATACAGATATGTATATATTACATGCAATGTATATACTATGTGTGCGTGATGGAACACCTTCTCACCTTCATGATGGCCCAGAGGCTGAAGTGCACACGATACTCCGAATGCCTCATGCCGCCATTCATGTATGCATGCACGAATGTATGATTGTGTGTACGGTTATGTATACAACAAGAGACGCAGCCTCAACTTCATGATGGCCCAGAGGCTGAAATGCACACGAAACTTCGAATCCCTCATGCCGCCATTCATGTATGCATGCACAGATGTATGATTGTGTGTACGGTTATGTATACAAGAAGAGACGCATTCTCACCTTCATGATGCCCCCCCACATCTCACCTTCATGATGGCCCAGAGGCTGAAGTGCACACGATACTCTGACTGCCTCATGCCGCCATTCATGTATGCATGCACGGATGTATGAATGTGTGTGCAGTATATGTATACAAGAAGAGACGCAGCCTCACCTTCATGATGGCCCAGAGGCTGAAGTGCACACGATACTCTGACTGCCTCATGCCGCCATTCATGTATGCATGCACGGATGTATGAATGTGTGTGCAGTATATGTATACAAGAAGAGACGCAGCCTCACCTTCATGATGGCCCAGAGGCTGAAGTGCACACGATACTCTGACTGCCTCATGCCGCCATTCATGTATGCATGCACGGATGTATGAATGTGTGTGCAGTATATGTATACAAGAAGAGACGCAGCCTCACCTTCATGATGGCCCAGAGGCTGAAGTGCACACGATACTCTGACTGCCTCATGCCGCCATTCATGTATGCATGCACGGATGTATGAATGTGTGTGCAGTATATGTATACAAGAAGAGACGCAGCCTCACCTTCATGATGGCCCAGAGGCTGAAGTGCACACGATACTCTGACTGCCTCATGCCGCCATTCATGTATGCATGCATGGATGTATGAATGTGTGTGCAGTATATGTATACAAGAAGAGACGCAGCCTCACCTTCATGATGGCCCAGAGGCTGAAGTGCACACGATACTCTGACTGCCTCATGCCGCCATTCATGTATGCATGCACGGATGTATGAATGTGTGTGCAGTATATGTATACAAGAAGAGACGCAGCCTCACCTTCATGATGGCCCAGAGGCTGAAGTGCACACGATACTCTGACTGCCTCATGCCGCCATTCATGTATGCATGCACGGATGTATGAATGTGTGTGCAGTATATGTATACAAGAAGAGACGCAGCCTCACCTTCATGATGGCCCAGAGGCTGAAGTGCACACGATACTCTGACTGCCTCATGCCGCCATTCATGTATGCATGCACGGATGTATGAATGTGTGTGTAGTATATGTATACAAGAAGAGACGCAGCCTCACCTTCATGATGGCCCAGAGGCTGAAGTGCACACGATACTCTGACTGCCTCATGCCGCCATTCATGTATGCATGCACGGATGTATGAATGTGTGTGCAGTATATGTATACAAGAAGAGACGCAGCCTCACCTTCATGATGGCCCAGAGGCTGAAGTGCACACGATACTCTGACTGCCTCATGCCGCCATTCATGTATGCATGCACGGATGTATGAATGTGTGTGCAGTATATGTATACAAGAAGAGACGCAGCCTCACCTTCATGATGGCCCAGAGGCTGAAGTGCACACGATACTCTGACTGCCTCATGCCGCCATTCATGTATGCATGCACGGATGTATGAATGTGTGTGCAGTATATGTATACAAGAAGAGACGCAGCCTCACCTTCATGATGGCCCAGAGGCTGAAGTGCACACGATACTCTGACTGCCTCATGCCGCCATTCATGTATGCATGCACGGATGTATGAATGTGTGTGCAGTATATGTATACAAGAAGAGACGCAGCCTCACCTTCATGATGGCCCAGAGGCTGAAGTGCACACGATACTCTGACTGCCTCATGCCGCCATTCATGTATGCATGCACGGATGTATGAATGTGTGTGCAGTATATGTATACAAGAAGAGACGCAGCCTCACCTTCATGATGGCCCAGAGGCTGAAGTGCACACGATACTCTGACTGCCTCATGCCGCCATTCATGTATGCATGCACGGATGTATGAATGTGTGTGCAGTATATGTATACAAGAAGAGACGCAGCCTCACCTTCATGATGGCCCAGAGGCTGAAGTGCACACGATACTCTGACTGCCTCATGCCGCCATTCATGTATGCATGCACGGATGTATGAATGTGTGTGCAGTATATGTATACAAGAAGAGACGCAGCCTCACCTTCATGATGGCCCAGAGGCTGAAGTGCACACGATACTCTGACTGCCTCATGCCGCCATTCATGTATGCATGCACGGATGTATGAATGTGTGTGCAGTATATGTATACAAGAAGAGACGCAGCCTCACCTTCATGATGGCCCAGAGGCTGAAGTGCACACGATACTCTGACTGCCTCATGCCGCCATTCATGTATGCATGCACGGATGTATGAATGTGTGTGCAGTATATGTATACAAGAAGAGACGCAGCCTCACCTTCATGATGGCCCAGAGGCTGAAGTGCACACGATACTCTGACTGCCTCATGCCGCCATTCATGTATGCATGCACGGATGTATGAATGTGTGTGCAGTATATGTATACAAGAAGAGACGCAGCCTCACCTTCATGATGGCCCAGAGGCTGAAGTGCACACGATACTCTGACTGCCTCATGCCGCCATTCATGTATGCATGCACGGATGTATGAATGTGTGTGCAGTATATGTATACAAGAAGAGACGCAGCCTCACCTTCATGATGGCCCAGAGGCTGAAGTGCACACGATACTCTGACTGCCTCATGCCGCCATTCATGTATGCATGCACGGATGTATGAATGTGTGTGCAGTATATGTATACAAGAAGAGACGCAGCCTCACCTTCATGATGGCCCAGAGGCTGAAGTGCACACGATACTCTGACTGCCTCATGCCGCCATTCATGTATGCATGCACGGATGTATGAATGTGTGTGCAGTATATGTATACAAGAAGAGACGCAGCCTCACCTTCATGATGGCCCAGAGGCTGAAGTGCACACGATACTCTGACTGCCTCATGCCGCCATTCATGTATGCATGCACGGATGTATGAATGTGTGTGCAGTATATGTATACAAGAAGAGACGCAGCCTCACCTTCATGATGGCCCAGAGGCTGAAGTGCACACGATACTCTGACTGCCTCATGCCGCCATTCATGTATGCATGCACGGATGTATGAATGTGTGTGCAGTATATGTATACAAGAAGAGACGCAGCCTCACCTTCATGATGGCCCAGAGGCTGAAGTGCACACGATACTCTGACTGCCTCATGCCGCCATTCATGTATGCATGCACGGATGTATGAATGTGTGTGCAGTATATGTATACAAGAAGAGACGCAGCCTCACCTTCATGATGGCCCAGAGGCTGAAGTGCACACAATACTCTGACTGCCTCATGCCGCCATTCATGTATGCATGCACGGATGTATGAATGTGTGTGCAGTATATGTATACAAGAAGAGACGCAGCCTCACCTTCATGATGGCCCAGAGGCTGAAGTGCACACGATACTCTGACTGCCTCATGCCGCCATTCATGTATGCATGCACGGATGTATGAATGTGTGTGCAGTATATGTATACAAGAAGAGACGCAGCCTCACCTTCATGATGGCCCAGAGGCTGAAGTGCACACGATACTCTGACTGCCTCATGCCGCCATTCATGTATGCATGCACGGATGTATGAATGTGTGTGCAGTATATGTATACAAGAAGAGACGCAGCCTCACCTTCATGATGGCCCAGAGGCTGAAGTGCACACGATACTCTGACTGCCTCATGCCGCCATTCATGTATGCATGCACGGATGTATGAATGTGTGTGCAGTATATGTATACAAGAAGAGACGCAGCCTCACCTTCATGATGGCCCAGAGGCTGAAGTGCACACGATACTCTGACTGCCTCATGCCGCCATTCATGTATGCATGCACGGATGTATGAATGTGTGTGCAGTATATGTATACAAGAAGAGACGCAGCCTCACCTTCATGATGGCCCAGAGGCTGAAGTGCACACGATACTCTGACTGCCTCATGCCGCCATTCATGTATGCATGCACGGATGTATGAATGTGTGTGCAGTATATGTATACAAGAAGAGACGCAGCCTCACCTTCATGATGGCCCAGAGGCTGAAGTGCACACGATACTCTGACTGCCTCATGCCGCCATTCATGTATGCATGCACGGATGTATGAATGTGTGTGCAGTATATGTATACAAGAAGAGACGCAGCCTCACCTTCATGATGGCCCAGAGGCTGAAGTGCACACGATACTCTGACTGCCTCATGCCGCCATTCATGTATGCATGCACGGATGTATGAATGTGTGTGCAGTATATGTATACAAGAAGAGACGCAGCCTCACCTTCATGATGGCCCAGAGGCTGAAGTGCACACGATACTCTGACTGCCTCATGCCGCCATTCATGTATGCATGCACGGATGTATGAATGTGTGTGCAGTATATGTATACAAGAAGAGACGCAGCCTCACCTTCATGATGGCCCAGAGGCTGAAGTGCACACGATACTCTGACTGCCTCATGCCGCCATTCATGTATGCATGCACGGATGTATGAATGTGTGTGTAGTATATGTATACAAGAAGAGACGCAGCCTCACCTTCATGATGGCCCAGAGGCTGAAGTGCACACGATACTCTGACTGCCTCATGCCGCCATTCATGTATGCATGCACGGATGTATGAATGTGTGTGCAGTATATGTATACAAGAAGAGACGCAGCCTCACCTTCATGATGGCCCAGAGGCTGAAGTGCACACGATACTCTGACTGCCTCATGCCGCCATTCATGTATGCATGCACGGATGTATGAATGTGTGTGCAGTATATGTATACAAGAAGAGACGCAGCCTCACCTTCATGATGGCCCAGAGGCTGAAGTGCACACGATACTCTGACTGCCTCATGCCGCCATTCATGTATGCATGCACGGATGTATGAATGTGTGTGCAGTATATGTATACAAGAAGAGACGCAGCCTCACCTTCATGATGGCCCAGAGGCTGAAGTGCACACGAT